ATGTCTTCGGGAAGGAGGTTCCAGGATAGTGCAGCTCTGTGCTTAAACGAAGATCTTCCCATTTCTGTTCTTGGTCTATGAACCTTAACTTTTAGGGATTTTCTTAAGTCATAAGGAGTCTCGGATTTCACTATTAAGTCATTTAGAGGCTCGATGCTATTTCCATGATAGATATTGTACGTAATAACTAAAAGTCTCCTGATGTAAAATGAAACAATAGAGTTCCAGTGTGGAGCGTTCATGATGTCATCACTGTGGATGCTATGGGGTAGGTTGTAAATAATTCTAGTAGCTCTTAAATGAATTCGATCAATATCATCCGTCAAGGTTGAAGAACAAGACCCCCAGACTACAATGCCATACAAAACGCTAGGGATAATAGTTTTATAATAAATGTTTTCTAAGGTTGGTATCGGTAAAAACTTTATCCGATTCAGTACTGCGACTTTGTTGCTGAATGACTTACAAACGTTCTTTATGTGCTCCTGCCACGATAGCTTGCTGTCAATTGTCACCCCAAGACATTTAGATGATGATTTGTACTCAATAAAGCTATTACCAAAGGCCAAACGTGGCAGGGGGCCAATAAAGTTCTGGCTAGAAATAATCAGGGCTTCAGATTTCGATTCGTTGGCGATTAATCTGTTTGATTGACACCAGGTGTACAGCTGGTCTAGTACAGACTGGAGTGTTAAGATGATATCGTCGATGTTATTTCCAATTTTAAAAAATAGTGGTATCATCGGCAAACATAAATAATTTACCAAATAATTTTGGCCAAATAATTTTGGCCCTAGTATTGAGCCTTGGGGAACTCCATGTGTGATGGACTTCTCCCTCAGTTGTCCATGTTTCTATTGTAGCTGTCCTCGGATATTTGTGAACAACGCGAACGTGAACAACTTTCTCTCTTTCTCTCTCTCTCTCTCTCTCTCTCTCTCTCTCTCTCTCTCTGTTGTCCATTCCTCTCATGTAGTTGCCCTTGCACATTTGTCAATTGCTGTGTCTTCTTCCTCAGTTGTCCGTCTCTTTCTTGAAGTTGCCCTTGGATATCTGTGAAATGCTGTGTCTCTAGACATTTGTCAACTGCTGTGTCTTCTCCCTCAGTTGTCCGTCTCTCTTTTGTAGTTGCCCTTGAATATTTGCCACCTGCATTGTCATCTCGCTTTGTCGTCCCGCATCTCTCTCTCGTACTCTCCTTTGAACCTGCCGCTGTAGCTGTATCATTCTTTTCAGATGTCCAGGGCACTCTTTCGGTTTACCTTGGGAATTTGCCAACTGCTGTGTCTTCTCCCTCAATTCTCAATCTCTTTCTTGTAGTTGCTCATGAACATTCGTTAATTCCTGAGTCGCCTCCCTGAATTGTCCATCTCTTTCCCACATTTGTCTATCTCTCTCTCCCAGTTGCTCTCGGACAATTTCCATCTGTTTTGTCGGTTCCCTCAATGGTTCTAAAATAAATGAAAACAGAATATTCTTATTTCAAAACGTATTTGTGCACGATCCTCGCACTGCAGTAAAGACCACTATTTAAGCAATAGTGAAAATCAGACCTGAAAATGATTTATTATTTCAGTTCTTTGTCACGCAAAAAAGCTTAAAATTGTCTCTCTATTCTCAGGGCGACTGTAAAATCGAGAGAATTGTAATATTGTACAGGAAATCCTTGTCAAAATATTTTGTTTTCGACTTAGGGTATCTACTCACTTCGTGATGGTATTTTACGTATTTGGTTTGATATGTGCATATTTGAGTTCCGTATCGTGGTCAACAGCGTTAACTTGGTATCACCCACGGTCTAGCTCTGTTTTTAACTGATCGGCGAACCGCCACTTCGGATTAAGTGGCACCTAGCCTGCTATCCATAAAAATGAACTCTTTCCTTCGTTACCTAACAGCTCACTAGCGGAGCTCGTTGGTCTCGGGTACAATTGTTTTTTCCTGAAAAAAATTTTGTTCCTTTGTAAGATCCTCTCACCTGATATTTCTATCGCCGTAGATTCTTTTTTTATTTTCTCATTTACGTCCTTTGCTCCTCTTACTTCGCCAAAACGACTTCCTGTTACTTCATCCTGAGAGAAAATGGAAAACACATAACCACTAAGGGGATGCCAAAACAGAACATCTAGTGGTCTCTTTTTATGATATTTAAACTATTTTTATATCAGCCGCCTCTTAACCTTTAAATGTCGTTAATCCGTCACAAAATTACTACGTTGCAACTGCAACCATTATTGTCAGTCTGTCACCCATGTTTGACCGCCACTTGCTTCTCTAATCAAACTGATAGGATTGCTGTTAAAACTTACCAAGATAATATCATTTGCGCGATACTAAGGGTGACGAGCTTTTAGCTTTCTTACTGATTGCAAGTAATGCATGACAGCGGCCTATACACTGTATCATAATATCTTATGATTGCTTTTCCGCGAGTCGTCCGCGTGGAAATTCAGGTGAAAAAAGCCATTATCGTGTAAATGTCAACAAAAAATCAACTTTAAAAAAAAATTAAACTGTATGGCAAAGGAACATTCCTGAGATCGTTAAAGACAGACAGTGAAGCTATATGAATAAACACTCACAAAAGTGAGGCACACTACGAAATAACGAATTGCGAAAAAAGGCCCCAAAAATCTGTGAAACTTTAATTAAGGACCAGTGTGCCCGAAGATCATAGCAGTTCATTACTGTTTGGCCATTCTTTTTCACAAGCTTTGTATCTGAGCCGACATCTAACAAAAACTTCAGAATTTCTTTCAAAGTCTCTTCTTGCTCAGGTCCTGGTATAAAAGTCAAAACTGAATGAAGCGGCGCATTTCCCTTGTTGTTGACAGTAATCGGACCACACCCTGCACGTAAAATTGACGTAATGATCTAGACAGGGAATTTTTCGCATTCTCTCTAACAGACCCTTTGTAATCGGATTTTTATGCCAAGTTCAGCAATGTATTGCCTTCACAAGTACGAGGATCGAAACACAGAAATCTTTGAAGAATGTCTATCGCATTGCCATTTTTCGTTCAATAAGAGTCTCACAACATCAAGATGACCTTTAAGAGCGGTGGCCCCTAAAGCTGTACGTTCGTCAGTACGATCGTCGCCGCCAACTTTTAAAGTTCCTCGAACTCCGATGTCCATTATGAGCCGCAATGATGAGAGGAATGACAAAGTTTTCTCCGTCTTCTGTTTTTCTTTGCAAAGTAAGTTTTGTTTGAACAAAAGCTCATCTTTCAAACCGGCAGTCTAAATCCCACAGGGATCAACGAACGCTTTTCATTCCACTAATTTACTCGTGTTTTTCTCGTTGCCATGTTCCCATCAATAACACCATTTTCTTCCTTTAAAAGCACACACAACCCACAATTCCTCTATTCGCTCCGACGAAGGGCTGACGCTCGAAACGTCAGCTTTTGTAATCGTTACGGTGGCCAATTTACCATTTCAACTTTGTTGATATATCCAAATTATTTCGTTACCCCCACCGACGTAGCCAAACAGTTTCTTTAGAAACTATCAGCCTTTATTCATTTGTTTTTAATGCTCAGTCGCTTTTTAAAGATCTTCCAGATCGGAAGAACCGTCACGAGCAGCTTGATGAACTGTAGATAATCTATCACTATCGCATCGCTTGTTAGCCATTTTACATAACACACGAGTCACCTATAATTTATACCACTCCTCGACGCTTTGTTTGAAAGACAATGCGCTCGGGGTAAGGGAAACAACATTCAAATTCATAACCTTCAACATTCAAGGTCATAGTGGTCATAATAAGATGTCACTGGCATTTAGTTGAGCCTATTTATATTTGGCAAAGAGACCAATTTCAGGTCTTTTTAGAGCAAATTTTCTAAAAAGAATCGTACCCAAAACTGTCCTCTTTTCTGCTACAATAAGCACTCAGTACCATTACGCTGTCATTCGTGATTTCCATAAATCTCACTCTTTGTAATCGTGATCATTATGCTAGGTGCCAATCATTCGTCTTTTCTAAGGAAACACGAAGCGCGACAAGATTCTTTTTGTTTCGACGAAGGGGAAGCCAGAAGAGACGGTTCGCTTTGGTTTGAGAGAAGAAGATGGAGTTGCGTCGAGAATGATTTTCGAATTCCACTCAAGGATTTTACGATTTAGTTCCATAAAACTATAAACTATAACGTTTATGTCAATAAAAAAATTAGTAACAATAAGAGATACTAAATAGAATATTGCACTGCTGAAAGGTATCTCCAGTTCGCTCACTTCATTTACTGTTGTCCTCAGCTATTCCTCCAGGGATGCAACTAAACGTTATAAAGTAGCAGTTTGTTCGTCTCTCTCTTGTAACTGCTCTTGAGCATTCGTCATCTCAATCAGTAGCCTATCTTTTTCCCGTATTTGTTGTTCTTTCACTTGCACTTGTCCTTCCGTATTGACTAGCTCTTATTTTTGTTCTTTTAACTGTTCTTGTGGGTCCTCGAGATTCTTTTCCATATCACGCATTAATAGTTCACAGTTAAGAAATTGTTCTTCTTTCTCTCGTAACTTTCCTTGTGCGTCTTTCAAATGCCTTTCCATCTCGTGCAGTTGTCTTTTGGTCTTTTCTTCTAGTTCTTCTTTCTTTTGTAACTGTCCTTGTGAGTCTTTTAATCGCTTTTCCATCTCCAGCAGTTGTGTTCTCTGGTTAGATAACTGTTCTTCTTTCTCATCCAACTGTACTTGTGAATTTTGCAATTGCTTTTCCATCTCATGCATTTTAATTTTCTAGTAAGAAAACTGTTCTTCTTTTCCTTGTAACTGTTCTTGTGCGAATTTCACATGCCTCTCTATCTCATGCAGTTGTTTTTTAGAATTGACTTCTTGCTCTTCGTTCTCGTTTAATTGCGCGTGTTCCTCTATCTCGCACGATTGACTCTATGAGCTTTTGCCTTGCTTTTCTTTTTCCTTCGGCAGGTTAACATCTTCCAACTCTTTCTTTTGTGATTGGAAATGGATCTCGCAATGGTTCATTTCAATCAGGTTTTCTCGCATTTGATCCTCTTCACTTGTTAATGACCTCTGCGAATTTTCGGTTTCTTCCCCTCTCGCTGGTAATTTTCTGTCTGTGTTGAAATACAGTTCATCTATTTCTAGCTTTTCCGAGTCAGCTGTGTGATTTTTCTTTTCATGGAAGAGTTTTTGTTCACCTAGTAAGAAACGAAAATGTTTGCAAATGAAATCGAAGGTCATATGCTGCTGATGCAATCGCTTAACGACTCCAGTACATAAGACTAGAAAGACACGATGCCCATACCACTGCAGAAAAGCCAACCAACAGTTATGAAAATCTTACAAACGAGAAACAGTTGTCGATAACACAAGTCTAAACTGCTCAGTTTGAAGGGACCTGCCTTTCAAGGGGAGCTGAAGAAACCGAGAAGTATAAGTATCATGATTCAGTATGTGGGCCTGGTTCCCATCCCATTCACTTGGGGCTAAAATTGATAACGTCCATCTGTTCATACGATGTTTTTGACTTCATAATTTAAACTTTATGATGAGAGAGAAGGCCAAAGTAACATATCTGTTATAGTTTATAAAAATGTTTGGCCTTTTAATCATTTTGGATTTTCGCAAACGAAAAATAAGCATGTAAACGTGTAAAAACGCCTGAAACAATCGAGAGCTTGGACAGTCGAAAGCCTTCCCTCTTTGCCATAGTTAGTAGACTATGCTCTTTGCTGATTGATTTTTGATTCGGTCATGGTCTACAGGGCCGACAGGGTAATGACCTAACTTTTGATCACCTATCGGCTCACGATGAGGTTCAAAATATCTGTTCAGGGGCGACTGTGGTGAAGAAGCGATACTCACGACAAATTCACGTCTGACGAAAATCAACTCACCTGATTTATCTTTCTGAGATTTCACCTCAAAATCAAATTCTTTTATTCCAAATTGCTTTAAGTTGCTGCTGTAATGAGCCACAGCTACGGTGTGTGCACATGTTTTACGCGAAACAAATCCAAGGCACTCTTTGTCGCATGAGTAACCAGCACCATCTCGAGATCCTGGCACCCTTTTGACAACATGTGGCTGAGATGTAGTAGTACTGACAAAGTATGTGTCATCGTCAAAACCTTTCCGAATTGCATCACCACTTTGAAACTTGCTTGCCTTGTCTGCAAGTGCTTTGGTATCTTTTCCAGTGAAAGTATCAAGGGGATTCTCAAGGCATTCTGTTACGGAACCTCCATCTGCCTTTTTTTCTGGCTGTTTTAACGGCATGGGTTTCAATACTTGTCCTTCCTCGTCTCGACAACTTGAGGGGGTAGTTTGCATCATACATGGGAGACTGTCCCCTTCACTTTCTTCACCAGTTTCTTCTCCTTCCGCGAATACACCAAGGGGCAACATTGGGGTTGTGTGATAGTTAATCACCTGATTATACCTCACTGGGTCAACAACAACCTTCACTGAATTGATGATGTTTCCACGCTCCTCTGGAGTGGTATCCAGGACCTCGCATGATTGCACGTGATCTTGAAATTCTGGTCGCACAATGTAAGGACTATGGAGGCCCACGAAAGCTCTCTGTACGTCACTTCGTTGTTTGGCAACCAACTCCTTGACATCGTCGACAAAAGTACTCATGTCCTTTGATTCAAAATTTTGCCAGCGCTTTTCCATGATCCTTTAACTTTATCCGGTGCTCTGGCGTTCCCTCGAAGAAGTAACGTACAAAGACCAAGTTGTGGTGTTGAGAATCGGATAGAACGACGTTCACGATGGTCTTTCGAAGGGAATTATCACTGTTGTTGATAAACGTTCTTCGACAGACACAATACCCATCTTCGTGATGTTCGGGAACCTTTGTTATCTTGGTGACAAGACCGTCATTCCAAGCAAAGAGGTACTTCTTCGTTGCTGTCTTAATCTGGTTCCAGAAACCAAGATCATCCGAAAGTAAATCCTCTGGTTGCTGAACGTGATCAAGATCCACAACAAAGGAAGCATTATTTTCGACACGAATTGGGTGCGTTTTAGAAATAAATTCCGGGTGGGAATTTCTTGCATTCATAAGAAAAGGCACTATTCCTTTATTGCTAAAGTCATCAAGAATCGCCAATGGCACTATCGGAAGTAACAAGTTTCCTTTGTAGTGCTTAGGAACTTCTCGTTCATCATCTGAGCTTAAATCAGAAAGTGGTAAACGACGGGCATACCTGTAGAATAATCAAGACCAAAACTATGTAACCCTATCCTGCCTTGGGTGGGGTGGAGGGCGTAATTTGTAACTTAAAAACTATTTGTGTAGGTAATAACATAGGATCGAATAAAATTAAGGACATTACGGTCAAACTAAGTGAAGCGTACCCCTCAGGAATACATTGATGATTTGATTATTTGAATATTGAACCCGCTAATCGTTTCAGTAGCGCAATAACGAAAATTAACTTTCGATTGATGTCACTGGCGCGCGCTTCGTGATCTTGCATAACCCTGTTGAGCCACCTTAAGGGCAGAAGAGCCCCTGGGGACATCACTACCACTATTTACAGAATTATATACCCAACCTATTAGCAGTTAAAATTATTTATCAATGTCCTAGAGTTAAAAATCAACTATTACAGAGCGCACATTTTTTGCATCCATCATCAATCATGACAGTCATGTCCGTTCTCCTGATTTGGCTCTTAAATCCGTGCAGGCTGTCTTCCCTGCGTAACTCTTTTTTTAAGTTTCGACCAGAGGAGAGGGTCATAGTATCTTATAGAGTGTTTACCATATTTTACTGTATTAAAGCGAGGGATTCTAAAATCTGCATTTCTTAGAGAATATCTTCTATCGCAGTTTACTTCTGACATAAATAGTTCCTGTATTTGACAAGGAAGTAAGTTCTTTTTTGCCTTGAACATAAGGATTGCTATGTCCTGGAGCCTTCTGTTCACCAGTGATGGAATTTCAGCCAGCTTCAGCAGGCCGTCATAAGAGAGTGATTTATCGTTGAAAACTGCTCTCAAGGCCCTTTCCTGTAGTCTTTCAGCTTTACGTTTGTCTGAGGCTCTGCAGAAATGCCAGATGATACTGCAGTAGGTCAAGTGAGGTAAAATGGCGGCTTTATAAAGTTGTAGTTTAGCGTAAGTGGGTATTAGTTTTCTTAGACGACTTAAAACTCCTATCTGTTGACTTGCCTTTTTACAGACTAAGGTAATATGCTCACTAAAATTTAGTTCAGAGTCCAGGAGTACCCCCAACAGTTTGATAGATTTTGATTGTTCAATGTCAGCCCCATCTATATGCAGGTTTATACTATTTTTGGCCTGTTGGAAACTGTACGTTACATTTATTAATCTTAAACATAAGTGATTTCGTTTATCTATTACATAACCAAACCGCATGTATGCAGCACGTGTCTTATCGCCCCATATATGGTGCTGTTCCACGTGCTTACAA